CATTTTTGTTTAGCAAATAGAGAAGACAATATTGCAATCACCAATTTAAAACAACAACAGTTTTTCTTTTTTTTGTTCAATGGAGAATAATAAGTCCATGACATACGAAATCGGATGAGGAGAAATTTGTTTTTGTTACTTTATGCTCTTGGTGGGGTTCCAATTCTTTTCTTCTTCTTTTTCATTTTTAGAAGACTAGCTAAAATTAGATAAACTTTTCTGGAGTTGATCTAATCATGAACTAACTTTTTGCCCATTTAGGTAGTTGGAGGCTTTTGGTACTTCTTTTCTATTCAACGAGAGATATCATGTTGGGACCAATCTTGTAGAAATGGTATAGGATGTGGTGGACCTACTTATTATTGCAGTGGCAGCACTTCACGAGATATCACATTCCTAAATGAGTTATGCCCTATAAATCCACAGAATACTACAATATTTAATTTTGGAATATTTTTTGATGCTATTCAATCTGGAAGCACGAGGTCAATACATTTTCCAACCAAGTTCTTTTACTGTATATGGTGGGGCGTCAAAAATCTAAGGTTTGCATATATGCCTGTTAAGCTATTCGCAATTCATTCAGAAATAGATCCTTGCAACTCTGATAATAGTCTACACAAAAACTCATCTACTTCCACTTCTAGATTATAATCTTATATTTTAAATGCTTCATTGATTATTGCAGTAACTTCGGCACGAATCTGGAAACAAGTAGCTATGTATGGGAAAACTGCTTTGCAGTTATAACTTCTATCATTGGCATGCTACTATTTTTTTACCTCCTTGGAAACGTACAGATATATATGCAGCAGGCAATGAATAAATCGTTGGCTGACGAGGATAAAGCTGAGGACTTAAGACCCAAGATAGTTGAGAGAAATAGGGCTATAAAAATGTGGATGGAAAAATTTGCCCTGCCTGATGATTTGAAGAAAACTATTATGGGTTTAATAAGTCGAAATTTGGAAGGAAAGTTAGATGGTGATGTGGATCTCAATTTTATGTTCTATAATCTTCCCGAATATAACAGATACTTATTACAGCGTTATTTCTGCAGCGAGACGGTGGGGAAAGTATGTTCATGTCGCTTTTTTCTTATAATTAATTTTTGTTAGGAAGTATGTTCCTTAATCTCTATTTATAAAGTCAAATAAAAATAGTCAATAGTCTAGCTCAGTAGAAAAGGACCTTAACTTGCAGACTAGAGGTGTCAGATATGAATCCCCATAACATCTTAGTTGTGTGCGTAAGTGTGAGAAACTCCCCTCTAATTTAGACTATTACTTGTAGTATAAAAAATAGTCATATAAAAATATGTTTTTGCAACTCAAAAACTCTAGATAATATATAATATTAATCCACCCATATTATATCAAGGATTAGAATCTAGCTAATTTTCTGATATATGTATATATAGGTAAAGCAACTTCAAACTATGGGAAAGGAAGAGTTGGAAACGATCTCCGAG